TATGACACTGATGTGGACTCACTTACTTAAAGAGTATATAATTTTCTTTTCAAGAATATTCTTCTGTGAAATGACTTTACCTCGTATAATTTGATGAGAGACTCCAAAATTTTCTTCTTTGTAACCATCTCTGCAATGTTGGATAAAATCGCATTTGTCAATGCTAAGTGCAAATTTGCTATAGCGTTGTTATTGATTTCATTCCACCTTTTATTTGTGATGTCCACGAGTCCTTCTCTAATTGCATATGCATAAGTGTCTTTTCTTAAAATTGTATCCATCTTCATTTTTCACAATAAAAATTATTCTTATTAAACTTTTCTATCTTATATTTTGTTGTCATGGTTTAACAAACTTATACTTTTCAATATAAATCATATTAATTGCAACTATAAAACATACTAAGAAATTTTTCCACCATTATTCTAATGATTGTCAAAAGACAAGAAAAGATAAAGGCAACTGATAATAGACAATAATTGATTTTTACTATTGGAAGAAATTTTAATATCTCTCTTATGTAATGTACTAGTAGAAAAAAAGAAAATGATTTTGCTGTGATTTATAAGATAATTACTGTATTTTTTTATAATAGAAAAAAAGTGAACATCAATATATAATTTCTTCAATGTAAGATTTTTCTACAATATATAATTTTTCAATTTTTAAATGTAAGATTTTTCTACTAATAATATATAATAGAGGAAACACAAGTGTTAAAACACTTGTACATCCACATTTTTTGTATAACTATTTTTTTAATATTTTAAATTTTATTTTATTCTCTCCTCACTTTTTAAATTTACCAACTTTTTTCACTTATGTATTTGAAATTTTTATTATATTTTTATTTTAATTTATTAAATTTAACATATATATATATATATATATTAATTTTAAAATATAAATATTTGTTTTTAATTGTAACAAACAAATAAATATGAGATGGAGTTTAAAAAAAACCTAAAAAGAACATTTGATTGATAAAATAAGAAAAAAATGACAAATATTATTAAGCGAATAATATTATTACAAGATTAGATAAGAGAAGATATAAATAAATATTTTTTTTCTTTTAAAAAAACATACAGAAAGGAGTCTCCTTCATGTATTGTTATAGATTATAATTTTTAATTTTTTTTTCTCTCAACTTTATACATATATCCCACAATATTTTCCACTCATTTTACATAATTTTTTCCTCTCCAATTACTCAAAAAAACAATAGACGCTTAAGCACATGTTCACAATTTTTGCATAATATATTTTTTAAAATATTTTTATTTTTTAAAATTTATTTTACTCTTTTTTCTCTCTCTCCATTCTTTAGATCATGATTATTTTTTATTTCTTTTTCTTTTTCTCTTCATTATATATCTCATTATTTTTCTATTCATTATCATGATATTTTTTCTTTATATTATATTATATTATATATATATATATTTTTTTTTTTTTGTCTTTTTTATGAGACCAAAGACTGTTTTTTTTAATTTTATTTTCTATTTTTCTCTCTCCTCTTTAGATATATATGTCATATTATTTCCTCAATAATATGTTTTTTCTCTTTTCAATGACATCAAGAAACAGTTATCAAGAGGGAAATCTTCATTATATGTAACTAGTGGAAACAGATGTGTTTTAGGGTTTGTCTATCCGTATATTTTTATAATTATTTATTTTTAAATATGGAAAGGATAATCTTCTTATATATAATATATTCAAGTAGAAATATAGTGCTAAATTTAGGGTTATTAAAGTTGGCGGTTTCACCCATTATGAGAATTAGGTCAAATAAAAAAAAATTATGGCCTAATTTAACTTTTATTTTTAAACGAATAATAATTTTATGTTCAGTCTCACCTATGTTAATTCAACAAACTAATTTTTACCTATGAAAAAAAAACTATTAACATGTTTATATCAAAACAATTAATTAAAAAATGTTTAAACAAAAAATAAAAATGTTTTTTTAAAATATAAATTATATTAATAAAATTATTTTTATTTCAAATATAATAATTTAATATATAAGTTATTAGAGAAAAAATCTATTTAGTCCTAAAATAAGAATTAAAAACTTATTTTTATTATTATTATTATTATTATTATTATTATTATTCATTTTTTTAGTAATTTATTAATTTAAGATAATAATTCATCTTAACCATTAGATTTTGGAATAAGTGAATGTTAACATGGTTCTCAAAATTGGACCAGATCGACCAATTCAACAAGTTGGATAAGGAACCGGTCTAATATCTTTCCTTACCATTTCTTCACTTTTATATTCTTTTTTTATTTATTTTCGAGCATAACATAAAAATTGTAAAAAATTTTCTTTAGTTTTTCAAATTTTTCTCTTTTACCGTTTCACCTTTAGAGTATAAATATTGTAACTTTTTATTTTTCTGTTATTTCTCATCTGTTGAAGTTGGAGACTTTTTTTATGTTGGAGAAATACAAGAAGTTAAAAAATAAAGGAGATATTCTACAATATTTTTCTTAAAGTAAAGTACGAGTAAGTAAATTTGTTTATTTGTTGTAAATTAGTTATTTGTTTTAATGTTTTTATGATACTCCATTTTGATGTTACAATGTGAAAAAAAAAAAAGATTAAACTTCACTCTCAAGATATTTCGAATACTATATATTTAGTTTCTAATACAAAATCATTAATTCAAAAGTTAAGAGATTGTGGTTGGAAAACATTTCTTGAGAAAGTTCGCATTTTTTATGGCAAACAAGAAATTGAAGTTCCTGATATGAGTGCTTCTTTCTATGATATAATTTGATCTCGTCGTTGAAAAGATGTTGTTATAGTTAAGCATCAATATTGTATTGATATATTGACTACTATAATAGATTATCAGTTAAAGGAGTTGAATAATAGATTCAATGAGCACACAATCGAGCTTCTCATATTGAGCACCACTGCCACCTACTGTCTTGGATTGTCTCTTTTTGACACTGCCCTTACTACCATCGTCAGGTCTACTATTGTCAATAAAAACACAATTTTTAGTGCATATTTCGTGAAACTAAATTTTGGGTTTTCTAAAATTAAGGTTTTTTAAAATTGACATTTTCTGAAATTGTGATGGTTTCTAAAATTAGATACTAGGAGTAAAATTGATGAGTTTGCGATGGGCTAAGTGAAGTGATTTATTTCTAGGTTTCATAAACATGTCTTGAAATAAAATAAAATGCATAGAATAGAAGTTAGGTGCACCAGAAGATATGGTGCAATTTTTTCCCATAATTATTTTCAAGTTAGGTGCAATGACAATTTTTCTCCAAATTATTTTCTACTAAAAGTATTTGATGATATGTTTATTCACATTACTTTTCATTTATTTATTTTATAGATCATTCTTATTATTTATATAATACTTTTTAAATAACATTTATATTGGATTAAAATTATTATTGTTTGTGAATGTAGGAATTAACAAGTTTGAATAATATATTCATATGGATAATAATTAAAATAATGTTAATATGTCATATGAGAAGCAATTTATTAAGAATGTCAATAGTTTGTAGAAAGTCATAAACAACATTGAACTAAGTATATCCACAATTATGGCTAATGGATATTTCTAGTTTATTGTCCAACTAGTAAAGTGTTATTTATTTACTTCTTAATATATTTTTAACCAACTTTTTAATTTATTGTTGTTGGAAATGTTGCATATATTCATTTATGAAATTTGTTTAAGCATCAGATGTTATGAAGGATGCTATGATATTTTGCAAATTGTTTTTTGAAGTCATTGTGTGGGTAGGAATTCAAAATGTTGTTCACATTATGACTGATAACATAACAAATTATGTAGTTGTAGGTACATTGATACATGAAAAATATGACACCATTTATAGGTCACCTTATGTCATTCACTACTTAAATATCTTATTGAAGGACATTGCTAACATGTCACATGTTACAAGTATTGCCAAATAAGCCTCCAAGATAATTATATTTGTATACAATCTTATTATATTCTTACCTTAGTTAAGGAAAAGGAAAGGTGGAAAGAAATTGTCTTCATAAGGGTGACTAGGTTTACAACTACATTCATTATACTAAAGAGTATTTATGATCACAAGAATGACTTACAAACCTTAGTTATTGACAAATATTTCACTAGACACAAGTTTACAAAAATTACAATAGTAAAAATGGTTAGTGGTATTGTTTTAAATAAAAAGTTTTAGATGAAATATTTTAAGATTGTAAAGGTTATGAGTTTCATCATTCATTTATTAAGAATTTTAGATGGGATGAAATACCTCTCTTGACTATGTGTATGAAGGTATGCAAAGAGCAAGTAATCAAAGAGATGTTTAAGCATAAAAGATACCTTTATCAATGTTATACAAATATTATTAAGACTCGTCGAAATAACCATTTGAAACTCAATATATATTGGTTCAACCCTACATTTATATTGACGAGACTTTTGTAAAAATGAATAAATTCATGAAATCAATTATTGTCTTACTTGAGAAACAAACTTTTTGTAAAGATCTTAGTGAAGCCATTACCGAGATGGATATGTATTAAAGTTGTCAAGAAAGTTTTGGTCGACCTTGTGTTCTTAATGTACCAAAGTTAGTCATGCTTGGTGAGATAAAATTTATTTTATATAGATTTAGATTTTATATATTTTGTGTTTTATGATTAATTGATTAATTATAGAACTAAGTAAATATACTTTTTGTAGATTAATGGTGGTCATTGTTTGGGAATAGTGCACCTATTTTGCAAAAAATTGACAATTCATATTTCCAGTCAAACTTTTTCTTCGTCTACATGTGAGAGTAATCAGAATGTCTTTGAACAAATCCATACCAAAAGAAAAAAATACACTAGAGCCCTAGAGATTGAATGATCTAGTTTATGTTACTTATAACTTACGTATCGAAGGATATTTATAAGTATAATAAATAATAAAATTATTTTTTTGCTTTATTGTAATGTTTGATTTTATTTTTAGGTATAGCAAGAAATCATCTTATGATCCTATTGATTATGAATATATTGATCAAATTGAATTTTGGGTCATTGAGAAAGAAATGCATGGTGAGCTTGATATAGATGAACTTAAAAATGTTTCATATCATTCCATTGGATTTGCAATTGTTGAATCATCACAAAATAATAAAGGTGAATATTTTATACTTGAACTTGTGTTTTATTATATTGAACATGTATGGTTTACTAAATATTCTTACTTTTGGAGTTGTGTATAACTTTCTTACTTATCTATCGGTGATGAAAATATTGAATCTTTGGAGTTTCAACTTGAAAGTGGTGATGATAATGGTGGTTCAAACAATAAAGATGTTAATACATTTAATTTTAATGGAAGAATTCTTAATGATTATATTAAGGTTACTAGATCTAAAAATTGTAAGTGTTCTTTTTAAACTTTTTGTTATAATAATTATATATTTTTTTAAGTGATTTGCTATTATTGATAAACTTATTTTAAGTTTAATATATTATAATAATATTTTATTAAATTCGATTCAACTTCAATTAAATTTTTTAATCCAAAATCTATGACTAGTTTGATTATAAAAACATTGAATGTTACATACTTATTTTTATATTTATTTTGCAAAAAAATTAATATCTTATCATATTAATTTATAATATATATATTACATAATTTAAAAAAATTATTATTTTATAAAACAAATAATCCATAAACTAAAAAATTAGTGTAACCTAAATTTATGTAGGTAAGATAAAACAAATATAAAACAAATTTAATTTAGATTAAAAAACTTTTTATCAAAATTAACTTATTTCTCCAATCTTTTAAACTCTTTTATCAAACTAAATCTTGACACCCTTAATTAAATCCACATTTTCTATGTAATAATTTTTTTATTTTATTTTTCTCATATTTTAAATATATCTCATATTCTTTTTCATTCATTATACATTCTATTTTCTTTTCTCTCCTTTTCATTCATTATATACTATACTTTCTTTTCAAAAAGCCGTTATGATTTTTTTTTCTCTCTTGTATGTATCTTTTATTATTTCTTTACTAATTATACATATATTTTTTTCTTTTGGAACATGAAAAAGTTATAAAAGGATATAGATATAGATTAGTGAAATACAACATCTTTAAAACGTTTATGTGCTCATAATTTGTATATTATTAAATTTTAAAATAATTATTTATTATTTATTTTATTTAATATATATATATATATATATATATATATATATATATATATATATATTCTTATGCATGAAAATATTTTTTTCTCTTGGAGCATGAAAAAGTTATAAAAGGGTATAGATATAGATCAGTGAAATACAAAATCTTTAAAACGTTTATGTGTGTCATAATTTTTATATTATTAAATTTTAAAATAATTATTTATTATTTATTTTATTTTTAATATATATATATATATATATATATATATATATGTTTTTTTTTTCATTCTTATGCATGAAACATATTTTTCACTTTTCTCTCATCTTTCTTTCATTTTTTTTTCAAATACATAATATCACAATAATTATATTTATTTTATTTTATCTCACTTTATAATTAATATATCAAAATTAATTATAAGAAAAAAAAGTAAAAAAAAAAATCCTCTGTATATATATTTTGAATATGATGCAGGCAAGTGTACATTGAAGCTGGACGGTGATGGAGTGTTTGAAATCCCCTTTCCTCTTCTTCACTCCACCATCCAAACCCAATTCCCATATGGCAAGGAAAAAGAAGAAGAGACCCGTTCCGTTTCTCATTCGTTGCTCCATCCAGCGTGACCCGTGGTCCCCGAGTTTCGGCGACCCTACGCGGCCAAAGCCGCGGACGAGGAACCCGAAGAATCCTTTGTCGGACGACAACGCGCGGCGCATCATAAAGAAAAAGGCGGCATACCAGAGCATTCTGCGGCGGAACCAGGGCCCGCAGGCGCAGACCCCGAGGTGGGTAAAGAGGACCCCCGAACAGATGGTCCAGTACTTGCAGGATGACCGCAACGGCCACCTCTACGGCCAGCACGTGGTGGCCGCAATAAAGAAAGTGCGCTCTCTCTCTCAGAAAGTCGACGGCGACTATGACATGAGGATAGAGATGGCTTCCTTTGTCGGAAAGCTCAGCTTCAAGGAGATGTGCGTGGTGCTCAAGGAGCAAAAGGGTTGGAGGCAAGTCAGAGACTTCTTTGCTTGGATGAAATTGCAGGTTCCTCTCTCCTCTTCGCTTCAAACTTATTATGGTTTGTTAATAAATTGGAGAAAAGAGTCTATATACTGTAAGTGTAAACTGTCATCCAGTAACAAAACCATTTTGTAGTCTCTAACCATATCCCTTGGAAATGTTATTCCTATACACATGTTTGGTTGGAATTTAGTAATTCTATAAACTTTTTATTTATTAATCAATTAAGCATTTAAAAATTGGAAACTGAAGTAAGTTGGAAAGATAGAGGATGATAACAAATAGATTGAAGTGTGGTGGTATGGAAATACAACTGGTTTTATAGTTTCAGAATGAGCATTCTGCCTTAACTACCCATCAAAATAATAACTATCGGTAAAGAAAAAAAAAACAATATTCCAACTAACATTTAATTTTAGCCAACTAAATGTTTCTCTTCAACTTATTGAGATCGGTCAAACACCAATCTAACCCTTTTCTTTCTCCCCCTTGAAAACCCCTGTAAAACTCCTTATCCTCTCTCTTCTCTCCAAACGTGAAAGATCCTTAATATGCCCTTCTAATTTTTTACTCGTATCAACAAATATCTCCTAAGTTTGTTATTTATACATCAATTACTTGAAGCCATAGATAAATAGTTAAGGGTTTGTGGTCAATAATCTGTGGACAGTGATCCGTTATATATCCTTTATTACAGGTTGATATGATGCCATGTCAAGATGTTTACCCTACTGTGTTAGCTGGGTTGATTTTTTGTTAACTCGATCATCCACCCTTCAGAGTTTGAGTCACTTGGATTTCAAATTCCATTATGTTCATGGTCATTTTGTCTAAGCTTATTTGCCCTTTGTTTTGGAATTTGGTTCCCCAAATGCTTTTGGTCAAATTTGGTCTCCCTGTTTGTTTTTGGAATTCAGTCAACAACTATTTTAGTAGTGCAATTTTAATCCATATGTTAACTTGACAATATTTAAAGAAAATGCTAATGTGGCATTATACCGTGTTAGCTGGGTTGATTTTTTGTCTACCTGGTTATCCATGCATCAGAGTTCTAAGTCACTAGTTTTCAAGTTCAATTGTGTTCATGTTCATGTCACCTAAGCTTAATTGTTTTTTGGTTTGGAATTTGGGCCCCCAGTTATTTTGTTCGAATATGATCTCTCCCTATTTGTTTTTGGAATTTGGTTGACTATTTTTTTAATAGTGCGATTTTAATCCATATGTTAACTCGCATATTTAAGGGAAGCACTAATGTGAGATTATACAACACATCCACCTCATCACTCTACTGTCACATCAACTTTTCCATTAAATATTGTATGTAAGTTTACAGATAGACAAAACGTACAAGATTAAAATAGTGAGAACCAAATCTGACAGAAAAAAAATGGAGGACTAAATTCGAGAAACGACAATATAGTAAAGAATAAAGAGTGTTATCAAATATATTCTTTAAAAAATCTTCAAAATAAGGTCTGATTTTTTCATTTAAATATTATGAAAATATTTGTGAACCTTGTGGGTGTATATGGCATGATGATTTCATTTTATATTGTTGTTTTCCTCTATACTATAGAGATTGATACTGTGTATTGATAGTTTGGTGCCTCAACAGCTGAGCTACAGACCAAGTGTAATTGTCTACACAATAGTATTACGCTTATATGGGCAAGTTGGAAAGCTGAAATTGGCTGAAGAGACCTTTTTGGAGATGCTTGATGTGGATTGTGAGCCAGATGATGTTGCTTGTGGTACCATGCTTTGTTCTTATGCTAGATGGGGACGCCACAAGGCTATGCTGTCTTTTTATTCTGCTGTAAAAGAAAGGGGAACAATTCTCTCTGTTGCTGTCTTCAACTTTATGTTGTCTTCTTTGCAAAAGAAATCACTCCATAGAGAGGTTGTACAGATGTGGAAGGATATGGTAGAAGAAGGGATGATGCCAAATAGTTTTACTTATACAGTGGCCATTGGCTCACTTGTCAAAGAAGGGCTGCACGAAGATGCTTTCAAGACTTTTTATGAGATGAGGAACAATGGAGTTGTTCCTGAGGAGATAACATATAATCTGCTTATAAATTTAAGTGCTAAAAGGGGCAATAGAGATGAAGTGCAAAGACTGTATGAGGATATGGGTTTTGAAGGAATAGTTCCTAGTAATTACACTTGTGCTTCACTTCTATCTTTGTATTACAAATATGAGGACTACCCTAGAGCCCTGTCCCTCTTTTCACAAATGGTAAGCAAAAAAATTGCTGCTGATGAAGTCATATATGGTTTGCTTATAAGAATTTATGGAAAGCTTGGCTTATATGAGAACGCTCACAAAACATTTGAAGAGATAAAGCAGCTTGGCCAACTCACCAGTGAGAAAACATATTTAGCAATGGCTCAAGTCCATCTTACTTCAGGAAATGTTGACAAAGCCTTAGAAGTTATCGAACTCATGAAGTCTAGCAACCTATGGTTCTCTCGATTTGCATATATTGTGTTGCTGCAGTGCTATGTGATGAAAGAAGATGTAGTATCTGCTGAAGGAATATTTGTAGCTCTCTCCAAAACAGGTCCACCTGATGCTGGTTCTTGTAATGATATGCTCAGTTTGTATCTGGGACTAAATTTGATAAATAAGGCCAAGGAGTTCGTTTTCCAAATAAGGGAGGCTGAAACACATTTTGACAAGGAACTTTATAGAACAGTTATGCAGGTTTATTGTAAGGAGGGAATGCTGTTTGAAGCTGAGCAGTTCACAAATCAGATGGTTACGAATGAGTCCATTAGAAGTGATAAATTCTTAATGACATTTTATTGGATTCTCTGTGAACATAAGGGGGGTGCACAATCTAATGATGAACTTGTGGCTATTGAGCCCATTGACAAATTTGACGCTACAGCTCTTGGGCTGATGCTCAGTTTATATCTGACAAATGACAACTTCAGCAAGACAAAAATATTACTGAAGCTGTTGTTGGGTTATGCTGCTGGGGGATCAAAAGTTGTTAGCCAGCTCATCATCAACTTGTCTAAAGAAGGTATGCCTCTATTTGAAATTAATCATGACATTCTTTGATATCTTTTTTGAAATTTTCATTTTCAACATAAAAATTTATTTTTCCAGGAGAAACCAGTAAAGCAGAATTTCTTAACCATCAATTAATTAAGCTTGGCTGCAGAATGGAAGAAGCGACAGTAGCTTCTCTAATTAGCCATTATGGCAAACAACAAATGCTGAAACAAGCTGAAGATATCTTTGCAGAATATGTAAAATCCCCCACATCTAGTAAACTGCTGTATAACTCTATGATCAATGCATATGCTAAATGTGGTGAACAAGACCAAGCATATTTACTATACAAGCAAGTTACTGACGAAGGACATGATTTGGGCGCTGTTGGAATGAGCATTGCTGTAAATTCTTTGACCAATGGAGGTATGACCCTTGAAAAGTAAAATGGACAGTCTGATTCATGAATCCACCTGACACATGCAACAAAATAATTGTTTCACAATCTATAATTTGTTTGTTGGCAAAGTGCTCTATAATACTGTATGATTTTTCATAGGGTTTTGGAGAAAGACATCGATCCCATTTTTTTGTTAACTGTGAGTTTTGTCTGTAGAATATTTAACTGATTATGTTCTGCTTCTTATTTGCCTTTCTTTAGCTCCAACTTTGATTGTTTTCCTTGGGTCCACAATAACAACATTGCATATTGCCAGGCTTCTCATTTAAGTCCTTGAAAATTTAATTTCTTTTAATTAAGTATATTTTTGAGAGGATTTTTGGTTAGGAGATTGCTTTCTTAGTTGGCTTTCCCATATCCTTTTTGTTACAGTGCTTCTATTCACCAATCTCTATGTTCAAAATTCCACTATTTTATTTTATTTTTTAGATTTTTCACATTTTTGTGACTTGAATGGAATCCTGAGATGGGGTGTCTTTCTTTGGGTATTTGTTTACTCTGGTTTTTGTCCTCAAGCTCAGATAAAAACATTTGTCTCTGAACGTTCTAAGTGTTTTCCTCCAAATCTTTGCAATTCCTAACTAATTCTTTGAACACAGTTTTATTCCATTCTGATTAATTTATTTGGAAGTCCAAAGTTCCCTTCTTGGTAAATTCCTTTATTTGGACATATGAGCTTAATAAAAATAATACCAATGACATGTTGCAAGGTGCATGAGGCTATTTCATCTAGTATATCTGTTATGTGTTCGGCAAGCTCAGTCTTTATATATTTACACTGTTCTGTAGCTGTTTCTTGATGGAATTAATTTGTTTGCAATCTTCAGTGTGTTGGGTGTGTCCTTGGGCCAGTCTTGTATAATCAGTTTTGCTGGTTTTTCGTATTGATTATGCTATTCTTGAATGCTTACGATTGGAACTTGATTGGTATGTCATTAGGGAAAACTTAATGATCGACCATTTGGCTTCTACCTTATGTAAAGGTTCATGATATTTTTAGATTCGGTTTTACTCAAATATGTTTGTGGACTGGGTAGCTTTCCTCCATTGTTTTTATTTTATCTCTTTGGGTTGGGTTTCATTTTTAGGAAGATCATATTTTCCAATCACTCATATCCTTTTATCTTACGCTACCTTTGGTTCAAAGGAGGGAACGGGAAGAGAGAGGGTTTGGTTAACAAGTGAATGTGACAGAAATTGATAGCCATATATTTTAGAGGGGAAGGAGGTTAAACAAAATCTCAAAGATAGTTTTTGCAGCACAACCAAAAATTATAGATCACTTTGCCGTTCCCTGCATATCTCCCCAATGTTGGATGAGAGACAAAAATGGAGGAGGGATTTCATCCCTTCATTTTGGGCTCCCCTCCACTTGCCCTCAGTCAAATGTACTGTGAATTTCTTCTTTTATCCACAAAAAAAATTAAAGATTACTTCCCTTGTTGAGTGAAGTTGTGTTTTTGAATTTAATTGGCTTCCTTTCAGCAATTCCTATAGTACTAAAATTGTTTCAAAACTTTAAGGGGATGCTGGCTTCCTATTGCACTTAGTGCATGAGCATTATATTTTATTTTTAAAATGTCAATTATAGCGTAAAATTTGTGACAAATCATATAAATCTGTTACTTTTAGACAATGTGGAAGTGACACACCATTTTAGCTTTTGTTATTTGGCATTTGGTAGATAAGTTTGTACCTAATTCTTTTCCAGGGAAACATCAGGAGGCTGAAAATTTTATCCTCAGATGTCTTGAAGAAAACCTGGAGCTTGACACTGTGGCTTACAATACCTTTATCAAAGCCATGCTTGAAGCAGGTTCATACTAAGCATCCTGCTTGAGTAAGGAAGATAAAGTCTAACAGGAGGCTTGCTTATACGTGTATATATATTTTTGTGTTGCAGGCAAATTGCATTTTGCATCCAGTATTTTTGAGCGCATGAATTCCTCTGGTGTTGCTCCATCAATTGAAACATTCAATACAATGATAAGGTTATAGTTTTGATAGGATGTCTTACACTCAGAACTTTCATAACTATCCTTTTGGTTACTGTTTTATAGACCTAATGTTAAACTGGTGATGCAGTGTCTATGGACAAGATCAAAAGTTGGATAGAGCAGTGGAGATCTTCAACAAAGCTAGTTCATTTGGTGTCCCTCTGGATGAGAAAACATGCATGAATTTGATTGGCTATTATGGGAAAGCTGGTATTGTGCCTGTTTACCTTAAACCTGGATTAATTCTGATAATTATGAATATGACACTATCTGACTGGAATTCATATGCACAATTTTTCTTCATCAGTATCTGATATGAATGTATTTTTTATTTTTTTTTAAATATAAAATTAAGAGTGCAAAGATGACGAGATTAGCTCTTCAATATTCTCAAATCTGTATGGTTATTAGTTTGTTTACTTTCTCATTTTTAGTATTTCCTAGAGTTTTGCAACCTTAATTATTTTATTTTTAGGTATGATGCATGAAGCTTCCCAGTTGTTCAGAAAAATGCAGGAAGAAGGTATAAAGCCTGGAAAGGTAAATTTGATTTATTTTTTTTAACCAGATTTTCATTCCAAAATCTCCAGTTCTTGTCCTTTTTTTGTTTTATGTATATGATCACTTTGCTCATTAAATTATATCTTTCTCTAAAGAAACTCCAATTTTAGGATTATGTATAATTTTATGTGTGGATTGTAGTCAAAAGTAGGTATGACAACTAGGTGGGAGCGGGGTCAGGTTTTGCCTTCCTGACCCCCTTCCCCGACTTTTTTAACTATTTCTCCTCCAATTCCCGTTGGGATTAGAAATTAAGTCTCTATTCCCGTCCTTGTTGGGTTTTAGGTTTCTCCGTCCTCGATCTACATTTCTAAAAAAGTAATTATACTTATCATAAATTAATTTTAATATTTTTATATATAAATAAATATTTATAATTTTACAATTTATAATTATTATTAATTAAATATATATTTTAATTTATATTAAAATATGTATATAAAAGAAACATTTAAATTTTTTTTATACGGTATAAAATATTTATAACATTATTATTATTATTTTTGTTATTATAATATTCAAACATTTGATTACATATATAAATTAATTCATTTTTAAGTTGTCATTTAAAAATAGGAAATATATGGTTTATAAGAAAATATTTAATAAGTTACTTCTTATTTAATTAGTTCAAAGTAATAAAAATTTTAATTATCAATTTTTTTTTATCTTTTAAAATATAATTATTTTATTAAGATAAAATTTAATATATGACAAATAAGAATAATAAGATCCCAAAAATATGACAAAAAAATCTAATAAAAATAAATTATAAATAAAATAATATTAGTTACTACTAAGATTTATGTAAAATATTTAGAAAAAGATAAAGAAGAAGAATATTTGACTGTGTTCGTCAAATTGATGGAAAAAATAAAAAAATCAAATTAATTGGAAATATTAAGGAAATAAGAATAATGTAATGAATTAATTGTTATAAAAGATTAAAAAAGACAAAAGAATGAAAAAGTGGGTGGAAGAAAAGTAAAAATGGTAAAATATAAAAAAAATGATTTTATATATAATAAAGAAAGAAAATAAAATACTTTTAAAATATTAATATTTTAAAATTTAAATATAAATATAAAGTCGGGATAGGGAGGGATAGGGGTGAGGATTGTAGTATCCATCATCATCTCCATTTTAAAGCGGGAAAAATCTGAACCCGCCTCTGTACCATTCAACTTGGTTTTATTCCGTCAAACTTAAGATTGGGACAGATCGGTTCCTGTGAATACGGATTTAATTGTCATCTCTAGTAAGAAGCTGATAATGGTTATCTGTTATTCATTGGTATATTATCATATTTCCTGCGTTGGACTATTTTGCAAGGACTGTTTTGCATTTTAGGCATCATATAGTTTATAATTGTTAAATAATGTCTATTTTAGTGCTAATTCTTTGTCTTTACTTGGGAATGCAGGTTAGTTACAATATCATGATCAATGTATATGCTAACGCTGGAGATCTTCATGAAACAGATAAACTTTTCGAGGCCATGCAGAAGCAAGGTTGTTTGCCTGATTCTTTCACGTATCTTTCACTTGTACAAGCATACGCAAGGAACCAGAATTATTGTAAAGCTGAGGAAACCATACGTGCAATGCAGAGCAAAGGCATTCCACCATCTTGTGTCCATTTCAATATTTTGCTCCATGCTTTCATAAAAGCTGGGTTGGTTGATGAAGCCAAGATGGTTTATGAGGAGCTATCAACTTTTGGTTTAGTTCCTGATCTTGTATGTTACCGTACAATGCTGAATGGTTACCTGAAATGTGGATATGTGGAAGAAGGAATAAACTTTTTTGAAAGTATCCGTGAATCAACAAAAGGAGACAGGTTCATCATGAGTGCAGCTGTGCATTTTTACAAATCTGCCGGAAAGGAAAGCAAAGCTAAAGAATTATTAATATCAATGAACAAAAAGGGGATCCCATTCCTCAAGAAACTTGAAATTGGATCAGTGGAGAGAGTGGAAACTCCATGAGATCCTAATATATTTGAGGGCATTATGATACGAAAAAAAGTTTAGTTATGGCTATAAAACATATAAATCTGATCAACCTGGTGGTTAGGATGTATGCAGGCGGCATGTAGTGGCAATGATGTTCTGGCGCATGTAAATCTAATCAACCTGGTAATTTTTATGGTGGATGCTGCATGTGTGTTTTTGTTGGCAATGATGATTGGGCTTTTGGTTCAGAAGTACTTTTTGCCAATTTATGAGGGGGACGTGATCCACTTTTGTTGAAATGGCGCTTCTGTCTTTTGACTGTAACTGCACAAAGAGTTTCTGAGCATTCTACGTTCATTCCAAGCCTTTGCTATGATTGACAAGATGGCACTGTTGATGTGATATGACATCCCTTATTAAGAAAGTGTATGAGAAGATACAGATAAAGTTGTAACTAACTCGGCTGTAACTAGTAGAATAGACAGGAGGTTGGTTAGAGTGGGAAAGGGTTGTTGTTTTGTTTTCTAGGAAGTAGGCACTCTCAAATTGCCCTAAGTTGTACATAATCTACTCTTGTGCAATACTAACATGGAGGAGGATGTTATAATAAAATCTGTTTTCCTTGTTAGTCACGTTTTGAATCCCAAAAATCTCCCCAATTATCAGTTGATTCCATCGTATAAAACTCATCGAAATGAGGTAGTCGTTATCACTTGTCCTCTTTAAGGAGAGAAAAGAAATGCATTGCAGTTCGTAGAAACTATAAGGTACCAAATGGATCTTAAATATACAAGGATAGAAACTACTCAAATAGTGGAAGATAAAAAATAAATTCACATCTTTATAGGTTATGATATTATTAAATGTGTTAGGTATTGTTTAGATATTGTTTGATATTGTTAATATATTGTTAACTACAATATTAAATAAGATCTTCTGTTTATTCTGTTTATTTTCGGTTACACTTTTAGTTCTACCTTTCTTTATTATAAATAAATTACCTTATGTGTGGTTTATACACAAGGGAGATTAATCTCAAACCCTATTATAAATAGATTACCCCATGTGTGGTTTATACACAAGGGAGATTAATCTCAAACCCTATTTTCTCTATATTCAACATGGTATTTAGAACTTGAACTTTTTTTGCCTTTGTCTACTGCTGGAGCCACCACCACCGCCGCTGCCGATTAAACTAATCTTCCACATCAGAAAAGAGTTATTTTTGTTACTGGATATTATTTGATAGTGTGAAAGTGCATGTTTAGGAAGGTTCTGACAAGGAAAGACTTGGTATTTAAGCATGTCTATTAGTGACTCACCTCTCTTTCCTAGGAACTTACCTGGTGTACTGGTTCACGCTGCTATCGCCGCCTTCGCCGCTGCCACCGGGGTTTCATTTTTGACCAGCAACATATAGTTTTGCTCGTCTTGGTCAGGTGACCATCGTACCATTGAGATCACCACTATCAGAGTTGGTCGTCTGTTGTCTTCTGTGCCATTTAATCTTGACAGACTTGTTTTGGTCTTCTTGTTTTGAATCTGTGCTTCGTGGGTTGATTGAATTACTTTGGATTTTTTTAAGGTTTGTTCTCACGCCCTTCATGACTTCTTCCACTCCTTATACTACTTTCGATTTTGTTAATAATTCTTCTGTGTTAGCATCTCACCGTGATGACCAGACTCGCCCTTGCAAACAAGGAAAATGACATCCTAAGTGTGAACATTGTGGCAAACTTGGTCACAAGATTAACAAGTGTTATGAATTACATGGTCGTCCTCCTCGATCTATTGCAGTTGTTCAGACCAATCTTTCCCCACCTTTGTCTGCTAGGGATCCTCCTTCTTCTATTGCATCTGACATATATACTATGTTCAACAAATTTCTCAAATGGTATAAGGATCAACAGTCTTCTAGTTCCACTACATCTGTCGCACGCATAGGTACATATTTTGCTGGTATGACCCAATCCTCTTCTCCTGGTCCTTGGATTTTTTATTCAAGAGTCACTGATCATATTACTGGTAACAACTCTTTGTTATCCTTTCCTAATTCTTTACCTTCTGTTACACTGATTGATGACTCTAGAGTATCATCTCATGGTGTTGGAACTATTAAACTTTTCCCTTCTTTAACCATTGATAATGTTTTTTATGTCCTTGGGTCTCCTTTTAACCTGTTGTCCATCTGTTGTCTAACTCGTTCTCTTGATTGTGTTGTTTCTTTTACCAACAATTCTGTGTGTTTACAGGACTGAAGTTCGAAACAGGTGATTGACACAAGATGTGAGTCTCTTGGTCTTTATCATCTTCTTACCTCTACACATGTTGGTGCAGTTATGGAGTCTCCCTTTCTTCTTCATGCTTAGTTAGGTCATCCAAGTCTTGCCAAGTTACATAAGCTTGTCCCTGCCTTGTCCAACTTGTCTAGTTTAGCGTGTGAGTCATGTCAATTAGGCAAGCATAGTCGTACTTTCTTTCCTTGTAGTGTCACACTTTGTGCTTCATCCCCTTTTACCGTGGTTCACTCTCACATTTGGAGACCTAGTCACGTTAAGTCTACTTTAGGTGTTCAATAATTTATTACTTTCATTGATGATTATTCTAGATGCACTTGGTTATTTTTGATGAAAAATCGTTCTGAATTATTTCATATCTTTCAATTTTTTTTAATGAAATTCAAACTCAGTTCGGTGTTTCTATTAGAGTTTTACGTAGTGATAATGACCGTGAATATCTTTCTCATTCTTTTAAACAATTCATGGCTTTTCACGGTATTTTGCATCAAACTTCTTATGCTTATACACCTCAACAAACTGGTGTAGCTGAACGTAAAAATAGACATCTTATTGAAACAACTCACACTCTTTTAATTCATGGAGAGGTTCCTTAATATTTTTGAGGTGATACTCTTCTTACTGCATGTTATCTCGTTAATCACATGTCTTCTTCGGTTTTAGATAATAAAATACCCCATTCCATTTTATTCCCTCATGAACCACTTCATCCCTTACCTCTAAGAGTTTTCGGGTCTACATGTTTTGTTTATAATTTTAGTTCTGGTCTTGACAAACTTTCTCCTAGATCACATAAATGTGTTTTCTTAGGGTTTACAAGATCACAAAAAGGATATAAATATTTTTCTCCTTCTCTTAACCATTATTTTATGTCTGCAGATGTCACCTTTGATGAGTTTTCTCTTTATTTTAAATGTCAATCTTCACCTCTGTCTCCGTCAAATCTTGTAAACACTCCTAGTACATTTAATGTTCTTGTTGTTTGTGACCCTCTAACTATGTCTTCTTCACCATTAGTTTCTGCTCCGCAGTCAGCTTCTTCTCCGCGACCTCTTTAGGTTTATAGTTGTCGAAACCAATCACAACCACCACCATGTGACTCCACTCAAGTGCCCACTACTCAGTCTCCTCCGGATCTAACACCTGAGTCTGACCTTCCCACTGCCCTCTGAAAAGGTATCCGTTCTACGCATAATCCTTCTCCCCATTATATTGCTTTGAGTTATCATCGACTGTCATTACCTTTTTATACATGTCTTTCCTCTATTTCTTCTGTGACCATTCCAAAAACTATCCGTGAAGCTTTAGCCCATCCTGGTTGGCATCAGGCCATGTTAGATGAACTAAGTGTTCTTTATAATAATGGAACTTGGGAATTGGTCCCGTTACCGTCTAGGAAATCTGTTGTTGGTTGCAAGTGGGTGTTTGTTATCAAAGTTGGACTTGATGGTACTATTGATCGTCTCAAAGCTCGTCTTGTGGCCAAAGGTTATACTCAAATTTTTGGGTTGGATTATGGAGATACCTTTTCCCCCGTGGCAAATATGACTTCTATTTGTTTATTTATTGCCATGACCACTCTATAACAATGACCTCTTTGTCAACTGAATGTTAAAAATACTTTCCTCAATGGTGATTTTCAAGAAGAAATTTATATGGAGCAACCTCCTGGGTTTGTTGCTCAGGGAGAGTCTTCTGGGATGGTATGTCGTTGTCACCACCGTCAAAAGAGGCGGTCGGAGCAACGCGATGGTTTTGATGATTCGCATTTTCTAAAAAAGTGGTCAACGCTTTTAGGTTGTTCGATAACTGGGCTGAACCTAAAAGTGAGATTTTCATAAAGGGTTCTATGGAGTCACCATCGATGTTTTTACCATAAATATCGGAAAAGGAAGAAAAGAAGGCGTTGGTTTATAAAAACCAACTTTGGCCGTTACAACTAGAGTTGGGTAAGGGAGTTAGTTACGTGTGGGGAAGGTGTTAACACCCCACAACGTCCCTTTCGGGTTCCCTATGATGGACTAATTTATATAATAAAGATTAAAAGAAACTATGCTTTTACCCTATTTATTTATCTACTTTACGGAATTTAAATATCTACATGACCTTAGTATCTAATGCATACAAGGAAAGTAGTAAAGGAAAGCATAAAAAGAGAGAGAATAGAGAAAGAAACCTCCGAAACGAGCTTTCTATTAACTCTTCAAACTTGAGGATGCTTTTTGGTAATCCCCTCGCTCTATAAGCACACTCCTCACCAGCAAAAGAGAAAATACCCTCCTACCGAGTGCCAAATGTCTCAAAAGGAGACTTCCTTAATCGATTTCTATCTTAAACAGAAATCAGAAAGCATACTCGAACTCTGGAAAGTGCTCAGAGTTATCCCGAAGTCCTAGGAGAGCTTCTAGGATGAGAGAAGGGTGTGAGAGTGTGTGTGTGTAGACCCCAAATCTTGCCCGACCTCAAAATAAAGAGCAGAAGACATCCGTTCGAAGATGGACAAGGCCTTAAAGGTCCCTAAGATTGTTCAATAGACTCCATTTTAGAATAGGAAGGCTTTTTGTACACAAAAATAAGAAAATTCTACCCAGAAGACCGAGACCGTCGTCTCATCGTTGGTCAAAGGCGAGACTGTCGTCTTGCCATTTGCCAAAAGCGAGACCGCCGTCTTGCCATTTGTCAAAAGCGAGACCGCCGTCTCGCCATTTGTCAAAAGCGAGACCGCCGTCTCGCCAT